CGTGAATAATTTCACAAAATCAAAATTATATTTGTCGTACTTAGTTAAAAACAAAGAGATAATTACAAAAATACTATTTTTTGTGTTCACATTTGCAAGAATACCACTTAGAGATGTCTATTTACAAAAATGCCACTAATTATAGATTTATAAAGTCTATATCTTAAAATTCTAAACTCTAAAAAATGTTTTGATACCTAAAACCTCCTAAACACTCAAAACTAAATCCTAATAAAACATAATTAATTCAAACATAAATAATATAAAAAATTTTTTTTTTGAAAAAATAGTATTTTTGTAAAGATTTCAAAAATATAACATTTTTGTAAAATAGCACTTGAAAAGTGGCATTTTTTTAAATCTCTCTGAAAACAAACTCTAAAATTCATTTAAATTTCAGCCATACTTGCAAAAACTCGTGTTAATTTCAGCCATACGCTTCAGTTACTAACTAATCATTCTATATGTCTTTTTGTTTTTTTGGTCGCTTTTAATAAGAGAAACAAGCGACGTGTGACCGGTGAATTCATAGAAAAAACAATATATTTTTTAATTTCTTCTGAACCCACAAGAAATGAGTGTATTTTTTCTTAACCAAGCAACTTTTTTATTCCGTGAAAAAAAACGGTCCACTTTCAAATTGATGAAGAAATTTTTCTTCTAATTTTCTTCATAGTAATAAATATTGTTCTCTCTGTTTCACAAAAATGAATTTTTTCCAAAAAAAAATATTTTAGAAAGATTATTTTTTGTGTTTTCAATACATTTATATCATTAATGCTAATATATTGTAAATTTTAAAAAAAAATATTGAAACAGTATTGGTTAATATTTTTTTTAATTATTTATTGTAAAAATTAATATATTTATTATAGAAGATTAATTCTTCATTTTAATATCTGTAAAAAAATTCAGAAAATTTATTTTTGTTGAACGAAGAAGCAGTGGTGGACCCTTTGTGTTTTAGAAGAATTTGTTTTCTTCTATTGCAGTCTCATTTTGATGTGAAAACAGAAAAGTGAAAACAGGCAAGTGTTCGGCTTTTAATAATAACTCTAACAAGTAACAATTATTATTCTCTAACGGCAACTCCAACCATAACACCAAATTTGGTATTAAAACCACATTAAATTTGGTGTTTTAGTGCCATGTTTTTTTTTTATCCTCAATCACAATACTAAATTTCACATTAAAAACTTATTCTCTATTATTATTTTAAATTGAAAATTTTCAAAAAATACCACATGTTCATGCCCCTTTGCAAAAATACCATCTTTTAAAAAGTTTTGCAAAAATACCACTCTCTTTTTCAGTATTCTTATATTGTCTTTGTCCTTTGACTCATATAATTTGA